GTCAGTGAACAGAAAAGATTACATCGAAGTTTGTCCTGAGGAAGGGATCTGGGAGGTTGGGAAATGGGAAGGGAAATACCAGGCCAACCTCCCCCAAGAATCCCCCGAAATGCCCCTGAGCAAGGAGCCTAAGAGGATCCGAGTCTCTCTCAACTGTGAAGGGATCTGCACATTCTTGGAAGCTGGGGAGACCCTTCTGCCCTCCCTTCTTTGCATCAATGCCTGCCTGACGCTCTCTCCATAAAAGTGGGGACATACATGGAGAAAACTTTAGAAAAATCCTTATTTATGATCTCTGAAAGTATGCAGAGCAAATTTGCACAGAAATACTCCCCAACATGAAAATTGGCTTGGAAGGAGTTGTTGTCACAACTAGAGGCCTACTTGTAAAAAATCACAAATAAAATACATGAATTTGTGTTGAGAAGTGTCCTATTATTGAAAGTCTCTTTTCCTCTAATGTATCAGTTCAACTACAGTGTTCTATTCTCGTTATCTGTGTAGCTCTTCTTCCAAGGAATTAAACATTGGCAGTGGGGCAGGGATCTTTGAGACTCATCATCTCTCATTGCAGGCTCTTGCAGAGAAGCCCTTGTCAGGCATCACTGAGCATCTGAGAAAGTTTTTATATAAATAAACTTTAATTAGAATATTAAAAAGAAACTTACTAGGTTCTGCTTTTGTGCATCACAGTCAACTCCAGCTGAGTCTTTCAAGCATTGAACTAAAGAATTTGTGAGGGAAGTTTGCCTATGCTGTCCCACTGCCTCCACACCCGATTGACTGGAAGTGATGGGAAACTTCTGAAGTGAAGGCACAATTTATGGAAGACACAGAAAATGAAAAGGACACATTATTCCTCTTCTTATCAATGAGAAGAGGACAAATATGAAGAGCTGGTCTGCATATCTTGACTTCTCCACTGCCATACCTCCGTTGTATGAAAAAACAAGCAGTGAGCACCTTCATGTCTACGGCTCTCTCAGTGCTGAGAACAAGGAGCAACAGTGTTGGTCAATCTCTTCCCCTCCTGAATTGTTCTGGGTCCAGGAGTAAGAAAAATCCGCTCTGCTCAGCCTCTGGGAACTCTTCCTGCTGGATGTTCCCCACCCAAAGGTGTGTTAGGGAGCCTCTTATTGGACAATTGCCTTGCCTGTTTCACAGACTTTCACCCAGGATGCAGGTGGCCAGTTGATCTGTATAAACCAACCAGTCAAAGCATTTCTAAAGACAGGAAAACCCTGACTGGATTTCTTTAACCCCGATTTGTTGAATAAATCATAACTGCTTAGGTTCATGCATCACGCTAATTGATAAACATGGTTTTAGAGACCCAGTGGTCCCTTCTGAGACCCTCCCCGTGCCCCTTGTGCTTCTGCGGGCTGAGATACCTTTTGCATGATGGTGGTCTAGTCTGCGGCTCTTCCTCCTGCCAACCCAGGTCAGTCCCACAGACCGTTGCACCTAAGCAGAGATTTTTCTGGACTGGTCCCAGCATGCAATTCCGTGTTGCTTATTCAGTGATCCAGACCCTGAAATCTCTGGAAAAGTGACCCAATTCTGGCCCTAAAAATTGCAGTTGTTGGATTTGAGCATAGTCCGGGTGCGCTTAGTTTCAGGTGTGAGTGGGCCTTTATGATGAATGTTTTGTATTTTAACTTTTCGTCTATGATGGCACATTC